GTCAGGAAATTCCTAGCACTACAGTGCTTAAAATGTTCATGGTTCAGGGGAGGGTTGGAGCCAAGAAGCTGGGAAACAGAAATTTGATAGGAGTTCCTGGCATATCTTTGTCTGCCTGTCTGTCTGTCTGTCTATCATCTATCATCTCTGTATCTCTGTCTCTGCCTCTGTCCTTATCTCTCTCATCTATAAGATTTTTTTTCTACAGAATAAGAACAATACAAATTATAAGTCAAAGTTAAGATGAAGAGAGAAGTAACAGAAAAGTAAAAAAAAAAATCAAGAAAAAGACATAGAAGGAAAAAGAAAAAAAGAAAGAATAATAAAAGAGTGGCCTTTGGTCCTCTTAACAGCAGTTATATATACATGTATACTTTGCCCTCTCTTTAAAAGATTACATCCAAGTTAACTTTTTTTCCACAGTCTACTCCTTCTAAATTATCAAAGCCATAAATCATCAGTTTATTTTTTTTTTGTCCCAGCAAAAAGTCTGTATGAGGTTTCCAGTTGTTAATAAATGTAGCACTTGATCTTTCTCAAGTTAATTTTGCCATCTCTACTAGTTTCATCATCTTTACCAACCCTTCCTCCATGGTGGGAATTTGCAAATTTTTATGCAGAAAAAAATAATCTTGGCTGTCCTTTGAGGATGCCAAAATGGGAGGTTGGGAGTGCATTGCCACTGCAAGGAAGGCCTAAGGCCGTTCCCAGTCACTCCTGTTGAAATCAGCAGCATGCCAGATGCTTGCCTTGACTGGATCAAGGGGATGACTGTTCCTTTCTTGTTAGCACACACCAGACTTCTGATCACTCTTTGGCAGGCTATGAACAGAGAACAAGTAGCCCTGTGCATGTGAAGCGCTGGTAGTTTCAGAGCTACTGGAGAGCCCTTGCTTTTCTGCTTTAAGCTGGGGTGATGTGTTGAGTTACATCCCAAAGAGTGGGAGAACAGTGCAGAAATGGGCAAACTCAGACTTTGTTTCTCATGTGATTAGTTCCTAGAAAACAGAGTCCTTTGATATGTTGTGGATGATTTGTTGGATATAATCAGTGAAGATATGCATGAGGAAAGCCTTGTGATCTGTAAAGGAAATGGAAAAACAGGACAAGCCCTATGCAAGGAAAAATAAAAATAGCATAATGTTCCTAAACTAGAGAAACAGATTTCAACATACGGTGAACAAGGTTTCTGCTGTGAGCAAATGCACATTCCCAAACCTGTTTTTAACTTCTGGCATCACCTTTGGCTCCAAGAATTGCATCTCTGGTTATTTGGACACTTCTTGCTAAATATTTTCCTGTTGGGAAAGGGATAGCAAAAGGATTTCTCAAGGGCTAATGCACTTTGTCTGACAGATCTTCACTGATTAGATTGTCTGGTCTGACTTATTATCTAAAGCTTGTAATAATATATAGCTAAGTATGATTCTTTGAATATAATTTCCAGAAATGAGAGTCAGAAAAATTAATAAAATATCTGTACACACATAGGATTCTTTCCCTTTTTTTAAGGAAATAATATGTGAGGTGCCATTTGGGGGTCCCACCATATTTACTGTGCATTATCTGGCTGCACAGTAAATTGGGAAATGTAACTGACTGCATTCAGAAATCATGTCACTGGACTTCCCGGGAATTCAATAGGCAGGAAAAGAGGGGCATAATGAGAGAAGATGGTTTCATTTCCCAGTTGGTGATACCCAGGGCTTTTTTTTCTCATAGAACCCCAGAACTGAGTTCCGGTACCTTTTTTGGATGGAACCTTGTAGGGTAGGCAAGGGGGCTTGTATGATATGTGTGAGTTCCGGCACTTTTTTTTTTTTTTAGAAAAAAAGCACTGGTGATACCTGAAGATGATAATCCTTCACCATCCTGGTCAATGTGCATAACTAACTCAAACAAACATCAGGAATCAGTGGGTCAAAATGCTGTCCCCAGATTGTGCTATATGTGACATTCAATTTCTCCTGGGATTTGCTAAGGACACAAAAAAACTTTCTGTGATCAAATGCTACTATAAGTCACCCGCAACAAGGAAGCTTACTTTTGGAGAAGCACGGTAAGCCTGTCATCTTTTGAGCTGAAGCAAAGTGTAGAGTAGTAATGGGCAAGCCTTTGTTGGGCTGTATTTCCTTGAGCAAAGGAGTTGCATATCAGTGGGAGATGAAGCCTAAGGACAGATTGCTTTTCTCTGGGATTTGAATTGCTATCTTGCAAGAGCAGTTGGGATTAGGTTGAAGGTTCTGCTAATTTCTCCTACAGCTGTGCAAAGCTTTGAAAGAGTTTCTATGGAGATTTTCAGTCATCCAGGTCATGGTTGTCTGTGTTTTTTATTGAAAGGCTACTGGACTTCATTTTTCTTTGAACACATTTCACTTCTCATCCAAGAAGCTTCTTCAGTTCTGACTTCCGTTGCTTCAGTCAGAACTGAAGAAGCTTCTTGGATGAGAAGCAAAACATCTTCAAAGAAAACTGAAGTCCAGTTGCCTTTTCAAAAAGCACCTTTGGAACTTTGAAGGAGTTCTTTGCTCCAATGATATTTGAAGTTCAAAGTTGCTTCAAAGCTCTTGATGACCTACTGTGGTTCCCTGCTTCTAAAAGGTGGTGTGAAGCTGCTATGTACCATTGCTTTGCATTGTTTCTCCAGCTTTCTCTGGTACTTCTACTTGTTTTCTCATGCTTCCAGCTACTGGATGTATAGCAGGGAGGATGGAGACTGACATGAAATGGGTGCACCTTAGCAAGATGAACACCATGACTTTGCAGTGCCAACTTTCTCCTTGAGATGATTTCTGGTTTTGGACCACTGTTGAAGGAAGTTAGGTTCTGAATCAAACCTTAGATATGGGGACTTTGTACAAGAATTTCCTTTCCAAGAATTTTCTTTCTTCTTCTCCTTCTAGAACAGAGGTGTCAAACTGCCAGCCCGTGGGCCAGATGCATCACCGGAAACTGCACCCACCCCATTGCCAATAATGGCAAAACAGTCCCAATACGTTGCACGATGTCATGTGATGTCGCTAGTTTGACATGTCTGTTCTAGAATATCAAATCTGCTGTCAATAGACCTGCAGCTGAGAAGATCTGATACCAATAAAAGCTGTTCCACTGGAGGATAAATAACACTGGATTTTACTCTATACCAGGGGTGTCAAACTGCTGGCCCGCGAGCCGAATACATCACGCCAAAACTGCGCCCACCCCATTGCCGGCAATGGGGAAAAAGTCATGATATGTCATGACATGTCACATGATGTTGCGAGTTTGACACCCTTGCTCTATAAAGTACTTGCTGTCTCAAATTTAACTGCTAAATTCTAATACTTTTCTGAATTTATTTTTTTTAATATTTCTAAGAACAAGTAAAGTACATGCATATTTTAAAACAGGAATATCAGTCTTAATAAAAAAGTCAGTGTAGTTAAAATGCGGTTATAATAATGGTGCATTTAAAAACAGTTTTAAGGTTTATTTTTCTCAATTATTCTTGAAACTTATTTTAACTTGAAATATGAATTTTAGTACTGGGGTTTAAATTCTGAGTTTATATCAAATTATGAAAATATAATCTATTTTGGAATCTATTTTACTGTTTAGTATGTAAATTTCTCTTCCAAGTTTGGCTCTCAGTCTTTATAAACTCTTATTTCCTATTTCACTTCCTTCCTGGAAGGAATGCTTTGTAGATACTGATGTTGCCATGTAATCTTAGAAGAAATTATGTTATGGAATTTGCCTTGCTTTTATTTCCCCAGCTGCACAACTATAAATTGTGAACTTTTATATCTATGTTCTACATCAACTTTAAGTTGAAGCATAATAATTAAATGCTAGCGTAATTGTTAAATGCCAGTCCTCAGAGAAGGCAAATTGAAAAGGTATTTAGAAAAGACTTCATAAATCTTCAGCAAAAAGGAAAGTGTCTGTATCATAAACAATGTGAAAATAAAATTTAATTTCATAGGCATAAAGTATTGAGAAATGTGTATCAAAAATGATAATGGCCAGAACCTCAGCTGTCAAGTAATATAATTTTAGTTAAATTTTATTAACTCATTTTACTCTACTATTGGAACATAAATACACTATTCTCTCCCATATGCTACTTTTTACCATAAATGAAATTTACCAGGAGAACGTATTAATAATTGGACATTTGAATGCCTGGCCTTCGATAACAGAGATCCATTTAACCCTGTGAAAGTGTTATGTTTTAGATTAAGGGTCAGCTTATTCCAGGTTCTTCTAATCTCAAACCATTTTAAAGAATAATTGTTGTGAAAAAGTAGACATCTTAATGTGCATCATCTCGAATTCCTAATATAAAGACAGGCAATTTGTCAAGGAAAAATCAAAAGTACAAGTACAGATTAGGTGAGATCTGGCTTAAAAACAGTAACTGTGAGAGGGACCTTGGAGTCCTAGTGGACGATCACTTGATCATGAGCCAACAGTGTGCAGCAGCAGCCAAAAAAACTAATACAATCCTGGGTTGTATAAACAGAGGCATAGAATCAAGAACACACAAAGTATTAGTACCGTTTTATAAAACCCTAATAAGACCACACCTGGAATACTGCAGCCAATTTTGGTCACCATATCACAAAAAAGATGCTGAGAATCTGGAAAAAATTCAGAGAAGAGCAATTAAGATGAACAAAAGCCTGGAGACTAAAACATACGAAGAATGGCTGCAGGACTTGGGTTTGGCTAGTCTAAAGAAAAGAAGAAATAGCAGTATAATAGCAGTATTCCAGTATTTGAGGGGCTGCCACAAAAGAAGAGGGGGTCACGTTATTCACCAAAGCACCAGAGGGCAGGACAAGAAACAATGGTTGGAAACTGATCAAAGAGAGAAGCAACCTGGAATTAAGGAGAAACTTCCTGACAGTGAGGACAATTAACCAGTGGAACAGCTTGCCTCCAGAAATCGTGGGCGTTCCATCACTGGAGATTCTTAAAAAGAGGCTAGACAGTCACTTGTCTGAGGTGGTATAGGTTCTCCTGCTTGAGCAGGGGGCTGGACTAGAAGACCTCCAAGGTCCCTTCCAGCTCTATTCTATTCTATTTCTTAATTCTCCAGCAGACATTACTGACAAATGGAACCTTAATGTGAAACAGGGAGTGATCATATCCATGGCATTGAATTAACTGAGTTAATTGTGCTAAATTCATAGTTTAGCCCCATTCAGTCGTTTCTCCTGCCTCCATTTGTTTTTGTCAGTGTAGCATCTAGGAACCTGCTCCAAGGTCATCTTTAGTTCTCAGGACCAGGGCTTTTGTGCAGAGATGCTGTAAAAATAATAAAAATAAAATGATGGATAGAAATGTGAGCTAGCCATAACCTGTTGAATATTAAAACACCCATGAAAATAAGTAATGGGGAGCTTGACCAATACCATATCTTTTTCTCCCTCTGAAAAGAGGGAGAATCCTATAGGATATTAGTGGAAATGCTATTTATTATTTCTACTAGATAAAAATACAAGCATATTTTATCTCCCAGAATTTTCAGTAAAGAATGGAATTAATTTTCATCCTGCTGAGATTGCCTCACCACTAAATATGGATTCAGCAACAAGTACCAAAAATACTACTTTACATACAAAACACAGCTGTTATGGCAGGTTTTTTTCTTCTAAAATTGGGGCAATGTCCAAGTTAATGATGAAGATGAGGATCAACAACAACTACAGGTGCATTACTGTTAAAATGATTAGCAAAGACATATCAGATTTTAATTTAAAGAATTTAATTTAATTTAATTTCTTTCTCTTGAGTTTGTATAGTGTGCTCTTCCCAGTACTTATGAGGAAAACAGAGAGGAAGTTAGAACAATTAATCAGTGATGGAGTGATGGAGCAGAAGTTATGGATGCTCCATCCCTGAAGGTTTTTAAGAAGATATTGGACAGCCATTTGTCTGGGATGGTATAAGTCAGTGGTGGCAAACCTATGGCACAGGTGCCAGGGGCGGCACTCAGAGCCCTCTCTGTGGGCATGTGTGCCTTCACACCAGTCCTAGGCCTTCAGCTGGGTTTTATAAAACCTTTTGACTTTAGGCCTCTGCCGCCGTGTGCCAAAAAAAAAAAAAAGTTCAATCAATCAGTCAATTTCAATTTCTCGCGGGGAAAAAAAAGGTCTTCTTAAGTTGGAATTGATTGATTGAACTTTTTAGTCCCACCCAGTCTGCCATTACCACCGTAGCCATGCCCATCCAATGGGCCACACCCACCTGGCACCCGATGATGCATAAGTGGTTTTGGGTTGTAGTTTGGGCACTCGGTCTCTAAAAGGTTTGCCATCACTGGTATAGGTATAGGATCTCCTGCTTGAGCAGGGGGTTGGACTAGAAGACCTCCAAGGTCCCTGTATTCAGTTAGCATCAGATCCTTGATTTACCATTTTAATTGAAAGTTCCAATATTAAGTGGCTTTAAAATAAAATGAGCTATTTTCATGATCCCCAGAATAAAGCCTGAGCAAGAAACTGTAATAGCAAGGGAGACCAAGACTTTTTTTTTTAAAGAATAGTTTTATACATGTAAAGCTGGCCCCGGTATTCTTTTTATATTTTCTTGGTTTGCAGAATATATGATTTTTCAAACATGAATCCGTTCAACAACAGACAAACCTGTTTTTTTGCTTGCATTTTTCATCCATGCACTTCCTATGCAATGGTTAAATAGACTGAATAGTGGTTGCATGACTAGAGACACTTTCAGCAGGCAGGTAATTGTCATCCAGGATTAATTATGAATGTAGTTAGCAAGAATAAGGCTCAGAACCCAGGGCAGATGTATTTCCCCAAATGCCTACCTTTTGAAAAGCATGCTTGAGATTTCGATCCTATGCTTGGAATTAAAGCATTAAAGCAGTTTTCTCCAGTCTAGTGCCTTTCAGGTGCACAAGAATTCCAATCGAAAAGTCCTTACCAATATTACCAGAGAAACATCTTGTCAAAAAACATCTGGAGAGCACCAAATTTGGGGAAACTGATTTAGAGTTTAATGATGGCTACTTCTTATAAATGATCAAGTTCTTGCAAGTAGCAAGGTCACTTTCAAGCAATTAAAAAGAGAGAGGGTTGCATCCAATGCATCTGCTAGGATCAGCTTAATGTAATCAGTACAACGTAACTTATTTTCACATACCTGCAATCATCGTATCTTAAGATTGAAGATAAATTCGATGAAGCCACATTCAACTTGTGCAAACCTACCAATTCCAGCACCAAAACCGATAGAAATGTTCCATTCAACACCAGAAGATCGCGAAGGGACAGATGTTCAAAGTAAAGAAATAACCCCAGCAATGATCTGCCCACTGTAGGTGTAACATTTAACAGTGATTAGTGCCTACAAATCCAAATCAAGTGATGCTTTCCTCTTTCAGTTCATAGTTTCGAACTGTAACTTTGATGCATTTAATTATTATTAAGAAAAAGTAAGCATTAAGCAATACATCTTTTTGCATCGTGGCAACAGTTCAGAGTGGGATTCTTTGAATCTTTTTTTTTTTTGTACTGTGCATTGTTCTTTAGAAAAAAAAACCAGGGAAAAGTTAGGAAAAAGATGATGATAAAAATGATATTGTATCTAATCACATATTTCTGCCGTATGCATTGAAGACCAGCTGCTTTCTCGTGTTATTTAGGCATCCTATGGGACCATTGCCTTCAGCTGGTTTTCTAGTGATTTCACAAAGCTCATGAGAGATTATGGATTTAAACTAGCCTTCCCCAATTTTATATTCTCCAGATGTTTTGGAAAAGCAACTATAGGGCTTGCAATTCCAATACATCTGGAGTGCACCACTTGAAGAAGGCTGTTATACTGCACCACTAAAATTTCCCTCACAGGGCTACAAACCCCATTTTTTACAAAAAAATATAGAATATAGAATAATAGGGTTGAATGGGATTTTGGAGGTCTTCTAATCCAATACCCTGCTCAAGCAGGAGACCCTGTACCAGTGGAGGGATTCAAATATGTGAACAACCGGTTCTCTGTGTGGATGCCATTTCCGGAAGTCCATCCTGGGCCTGGACAACAAAAAATTAGGTACCAGTTCTGCCGAAGTGGTGTGAACTGGCTGAATCACACCACTGCCCTGTACCATCCAGGACAAATGGCTGTCCAGTCTCTTCTTAATATCTCCAGTTTTGGAGCACCAAAAACTTTTGAAGGTAAGCCATTCCACTGATTAATTGTTCTCACTGTCAGGAAATTTTTTTCTTAGTTCTAATTTGGATGTCTCATTAATGAACTTCTACCCGTTACTTCTTGTCCTGTCATCAAGTGCTTTGGAGAATAGGTCAACTGCTTCTTCTCTGTGGCAGCCCCCCAAGTATTGGAAAATTGCTACCATATCACCCCTAGTCCTTCTCTTGGTTAGACTAAACATAGTTCCCTCAATCATTCATCATATGGTTTAGCCTCCAGACTCCTTATCATCTTTGTTGCTCTGCTCTGCACTTTTTTAAGAGTCTCAACATCTTTTTTGCATTGTGGTGACCAAAATTGGACATAGTTTTCCAAGGTGGTCTCACATCAGCACAGTATAAAAATAACTGATAAAATTCAATTTAAGCCAATGTTGCTTGACTTCCCTCACACATTTCTATGTCTAAATTGAAGAAGCCTCTGTAGGCTTTCTGCAAAGTTTCTCTGGATGCCTACAGGTAAGAGTGGCTAGATGTGTGTAGGCATTTCCTCTGCAGATGTCCATGCTCAACGTATGGTATTATACAGTGGTGGGATTCAAGTATGTGAACAACCGGTTCTCTATGTGGATGCCGCTTCCGGAAGTCCATTCTGGGCCTGGGCAACAAAAAATTAGCTACCTGTTCTGCTGAAGTGGTGCGAACTGGCTGAATCCCACCACTTCTCAAGATGAGCTTGAGAAGCCAAATAATGAAAGAGGAAGTCCAACAGTACATATGGCATTCTCTGTATATTCAATGCTTCTAACAGATACCCAGATAAAGAATCTGATCAATTAGAAAAGGTAGCAGAATTAATTTTTATTGCACTGCTTGAGAATAACAGGCTTGATAATATAATTTTATTCCATGAAAAATATGTATAAAATGAATTTATCTTTCTGATAAATAACTTCTATAGTTTGGGGGACTTAAGGAACTAGTATTTTAATAACAATATTTTGGGTATTATTTTTTCCAATAAGGTAATCGATAATGCAAACCAAACCCAGCAGATAAGAGAAAGTTGGCAAAGTATAAAATAAGTTTTCTGTAGTCACAAGGCAGAAGGGGAGAAGAAGAGAAACTGACTTTTTGTTCCAAGTATTTCTACTCTTGTTTGATTGATGTAGTTATACAACATGAACAGTTATAACATTTGATAGAGCCAAATACTTTCTTGAGAGAGAATACTGACAGCTCACTGTTTTCAATGATGGCACAGTAATCCATATCATTGTCGTAATTTGTAGCAGCAGTATTGGAAAACAGTTTTATGTATTTATTGGTATCCTGCCTTTATTATTTACAAACCACCCCCATATCCAACACATTTTCCACCTTCTATTTTCTGCACAACAACAACACTGTGAGATGGGATGGGTTGGGTTGAGACAGAGTGATTGGCCCAAGGTCACCCAGCTGGTTTTCATAGCTAAGGCGGGACTTGAACTCATGGTCTCCTCCTTTCTAGTCTGGTACCTTAACCACTAGATCAGGGGTGTCAAACTGCTGGCCCGCGGGCTGGATGCGTCACGTGGAAACTGTGCCCACCCCATTGCTGGCAATGGCAAAACTGGCCTGATACATTGGGCAACGTCACGTGATATTGGGAGTTTGACATGCCTGCACTAGATCAAACTGATCTCAATTCTTATGTTACCAGTTACAGGGAAAGTATGGCAAGTATTTCCCCCAAATCTTTTTCAAGACTACAGCATGAGCAGTATGTGGCAGTTTAGGGTGGCTAAGAATTCTCAAATGTTTTTAATAGTTAGCTCGGCTCAGAAAAAAAGCAATTGCTTGAGCTAAAGGTGTGCACCCTTCTTATTTTGCAATTCTTAAAAAAGAAAACACTCTTTAAAAAAATGAAAGAATTTGCTCTTACTTGTGAGTCAATGTTTTGTTGGAATTTTCCTGGGGCTTTAAAATAAGCATGGCTCCATATATCTCCAAAGATGGCAACATCTAGCTGACCTTGACTGATTTGATGAGACAGGGTCAACTCTAGCTAATATTTAGATGGGAAACCAACAGGAAAACCAACCAGGGTTGTTGACTAGACTGAGAAGTTTGGAAGAAATCCTGCAAGAAGGCAGTGACAATATATTTCTATACCACAGCCAAGAAAAGTTCACAGATGTGTCAGCAGGAACCAAGCTAGACTTGAGGGCTTCTTTAGTTTTATCTATTTACTCTTTTCTTCTCCTTCCCAGCCCATGTGTGTGAATAATAGTTGTAGAAAAGCAAAGGATGGGCTGACTACTCATAAAACTTCCATCAGTTCAGCCTAGCTAAGGAAAAAAGAAATCTTGCTGAAAGTAAGGGAGGCTGTTAGACTTGCTGACCCAGACACTATTTTTCCCTGATTGCAGGTGTCAGGTAAGAAAAAAATAAATTTCTTCAGAAGACAACCTGAACATCATATCCACAACTTCTGATGCATTCCATTTTGGTTATTTCTCTTTCTATTCTACTTTTCTTAAAATTGTTAAAAACTAATACTTTCACAAGGAATGGATTTGTTACAACAGCAGCTTCAGATTGGCAAAATACGTTATTACTAACACAGTATTTAAATGTTTTGGTTATCTACAAGTGTAGTTCAAACACAGAGACACCTTTTAAAATCAGCGACCGAATCTGGAGATGTTTTCGCCAAGAATTGAGCTAGACTTTCCCTTACTTCTACTTAGTTTTTCTGGGAACTGTGCATCTCCAGACAGTTTGGGCGATTTAAGGAAAATAATTAAGGAAAACCAAATAAAAATGTGTTCAAACTGCTGTACAGAAATCAAAGAATTGAATCAGAACAATTATGGGGGAATTGTCTTCAAGCTCTTTAGCAGTAACTCTGATTGGGAATTGGGGGAGGGAATCTCATTCTTCTCTCTCTGGGTAGGGCTGTCAGTAAAGGATCTTGTGACTGAGCATTCATATTCTCTCTCTCTCTCTCTCTCTCTCTCTCTCTCTCTCTTTCACTCTCTCTCTCTCTCTCTCTCTTTCTCTATCCCTCCCTCCCTCCCTCCCTCCCTTATCTTTGCAGTTGGCTTCTCTCAGTGTGGTAAAGAAACAATACATGTTGAAAAAGTTCATCTCTCCTTGGTAAACAACCCACATGCCTTCTCTCTCTTTCTGTCAGAAACATGTGTTTTCTTGCCGGTAGGCCTCTCTACGGCTTGACTTTTGTTCTTCCTCTAACATTTCTACTGCTTGCCTTGGTTCCTTTCAGCTAAGCAATTCCCCCGCTGGCTGCTCTGTTAGCTGCTGTCCTGCCAACTAAAACTCCTGTTTTGCTATGCTCCTAGGTTGTATCTCCTTGTCACCCCGATGGAGAGGAAAGTTCCTTGCTTCATATAATGTGTCGAGAATGTGTCCTCCTTTTGTCTTCAACTTTCTTTCAGTAGCTTTGCCTTCAAACTCCCCTTTGTTCCCTAAATCTCTTTCCCCCCACTTCTTCTTTGCCAGGATTCCCGTTTCCTATGCATTCCCCTCCTCCTATTTGCCTTGCGCCCTTTGCCATGACGTTTCTTTACTATGTGTACTGGGATGTGAGAAGAACCTTGGGAGGAAAAGGAGGAAAAGCCACAGCCAGGGCAATGGTCAGATAAGTGATATCGCAGCCCACAGAAGCAACAGAAGTAGAGAAAGCATCTCAGAAGGGACCTTCCCTAGTTCTCTGGAATGTAAAGGCAGGGGAAGGAGGAAGAACTGCTTTCAGACTTACAAGATTTCATTTCTGTTACCTACCATAAAGTTCATATTACCGTGTTTCCCCCAAAATAAGACCCCCCTCAAAAATAGACTGATTTTTTGAGGTGGGCCTAATATAAACCATACTCCCAAAATAAGCCTGAGGGGGAATGGGCGTGGCCAGTACAAGAGGCGGCGAGCACATGGGGGCCGATGGTATCCGGCAGCAGCTGCATCCCACTGGCCCCTTGGCACAGCGCAGATACATCTGACCACGGAGGCAGAGACAGGGGGGAGGCAGGTGATCCAGATGTGCTGCGCAGCTGCCTGGCTCATAAGAGGCTTGCGGGAGGCTTACGCAGCAGCACCGGCAGCAGGCAGAGGCATGGGGGGAGGCAGGCGATCCCAGCATGGCTGTGGGCAAGTCAAGAGACATTGGAATGGAGTGGGTGGGGCATTGGGATCTCTTGCCTTCCCCCCCCCCCTTTGCCTCTGCCTGGCTGCGCCACGTACTTTTTTCCCATTTGCAAACAAGCAGATAAAGCTTCCAGTCTCCCTCTGGGCGAAAAGTGTTTGGGCACCCATGAGGCAATTGGAAATGGAGCAAATCGCTCCATTTCCAAGCTAATTGCTCCATTTCAAAGCACCCCATTTGCAAGTAGATGAAGGTTCCAGTCTCCGTCATTTCTCCATCTGGACAAAAAGCCCTGTAAGTCATTGTGGCTGCAGGTAAGAAGATTGGGAGGGAAGGAGTGGGCAGCTGTAAAATAAGACATCCCCCCAAAATAAGACCTAATGGGTGTTTTGTCCAAGAAACAAACAAACAAACAAACAAAAAAACCCGGGTCTTATTTTGGGGGAAACACGGTAGTACTCATGGTTTTAGTTTCCCATCTGGACTACCTCAAAGGGATGATATTGTTTGGCTTTCCTTCTTCTGTTGCTTTCACTCTCCTAGCTCTCAATCACCCTCCCATCTCCATCTCTTTCTCTACCTCAACAGCAGTCATTCTCTTTCTCTGATCAATTTTTTCCTACAGTAATTTTTCCTGTGCTTCAGCTCCTATTTCTTTCTCTTCAACAGACTAACCTTTGTGCACCTCCTAACAAGGGGATTGTGTGAGCATTGTATCCAAATACGTAAGTGGAATATTCATTGCTGTTTTTCCCCACTGTAATTGAAAATGCAGTCCTGCTGTAGATTTATACTAAACTCAGCTGCTGCTTCAGATATGGGATGTTTCTTCATTTTCAGAGAACTTGCCTGTTGACTCTAAGGGCTGTTTATATAAGCTAGGGATGTCAAACTTGCAACATTACATGACGTGTCGTGACGTTTTGACAACACGGGTTTGTCAAAAACAGATCATGCCAGACATATCTTATTGCATTCTTTGACCAAGTGACAAAATTAGTGGACCAAAGGAATGCTGTGGATATAATTTACTTGGACTTCAGTAAGGCATTTGACAAAATAGATCACGACCTACTACTTGATAAGATAGAAAAATGTGGGTTAGATAGCGTCACCAGCAGATGGATCCGTAGCTGGCTGACCAGCCGTACTCAGCGTGCGGTCCTCAACAGAACCACATCTACATGGAGGGAAGTGTGTAGTGGGGTGCCCCAGGGCTCTGTTCTGGGCCCAGTGCTCTTCAACATCTTCATCAACGATTTGGATGAGGGGATAGATAGGGAACCCATCAAATTTGCAGATGACACCAAGCTGGCAGGAATAGCCAACACTCCAGAAGACAGGCTTCAGATACAGAAGGATCTGGACAGACTTGAACACTGGGCGCTATCTAACAAAATGAAATTCAATGGTGAAAAAAAGCAAGGTTCTACATTTAGGCAAGAAAAACCAAATGTACAGGTATAGTATAGGGGGTACCTTGCTCAATAGTAGTAACTATGAGAGGGATCTCGGAGTCCTAGTGGACAATCATTTAAATATGAGCCAGCAGTGTGCTGCAGCTGCCAAAAAAGCCAACACAGTGCTAGGCTGCATTAGCAGAGGGATAGAATCAAGATCAGTGAAGTGTTAATACCACTTTACAATGCCTTGGTAAGGCCACACTTGGAATACTGCATCCAGTTTTGGGCACCACGATGTAAAAAAGATGTTGAGACTCTAGAAAGAGTACAGAGAAGAGCAACAAAGATGATTAGGGGACTGGAGGCTAAAACATATAAGGAACGGTTGCGAGAATTGGGTATGTCTAGTTTAATGAAGAGAAGGACCCGGGGGGACATGATAGCAGTGTTCCAATATCTCAGGGGCTGCCACAAAGAAGAGGGAGTCAAGCTATTTTCCAAAGCGCCTGAAGGCAGGACAGAAGCAATGGATGGAAACTAACAAGGAGAGAAGCAACCTAGAACTAAGGAGAAACTTCCTGACAGTTAGAACAATTACCAGTGGAACAACCTGCCTCCAGAAGCGGTGAATGCTCCAACACTGGAAGTTTTTAAGAAGAGACTGGACAGCCATTTGTCTGAAATGGTATAGGGTTACCTGCCCGAGCAGGGGTTGGACTTGATGACCTCCAAGGTCCCCTCCAGCTTTATTATTATTATTAATATTAATAATAATAATTTTATCTATTGCCAGCAATGGTTTGGGTGCAGTTTCGGCATGATGCATCTGGCTTGACACCCCTGATATAGGCAAATCAGTCTGACATCCCTGATATAGGCAAATACAACAAATAATTTTTGTTCAACAGGAGGTGGAATCTGGCTCATGCCTTTCTCACCTGCCTCTTTGTCAATCCTGGCTAATATATAATATTCCAAAATATTGTACTAATATATTTTATATTTAATACATTTAACCCATTACAGAAATAAATAAACATTGTACCAGGCACCAGTATAGTATTTTCATATTTAACGGACTGGGGTGCAATATATATATATATGATTTACCTAATCAAGTTTAGCTTTAGCCAGGAGACATGTCTTTTCCCCAATTATGTAATTCTATAGGCAGATGATTCTACAAGTCAGGGTTAATTGCTTATGTGCAAGTTAATCATTTATGACCTCATTTTGCTATAAAAGGAACATAAAACAAATAATGCAAAGGGTGACATAATTAACACCTGCCCAGCAGGGAACACAAGCTAACTAACAAGGGACAATTAAGAGACAATTCATCATTATTCCCATACCACACTGAACAGGAAGCCATAAAATGGGCAAACTATCAAAATAGTTAGTTTAGATTAGATAGGATCTAAAAGATCTTTGGATGCAAGGATCTTGCCCTTAAATTCTGTGCTATTGTTTTCATTTCCAGCTTACTGAGAAAAAAATGTAGGCCTATAGTGCTAAAGGTTACAGACTGGAAGTAACATTACTCTAAACAAGCAATTAGCTATTACTCTAGCCATCAACAAAGTGCTGGTTTTGGATTTATTTGCTTGTTTAAAGCTATGCACCATCTTTTCCCATTTTCTAGTTCTCAAAGCAGTCTACATTAAAAGTATTCCAAAAATCAACAACATAGTTGTTGATGGCTAGAATATTGAAACACAGACTGCAGAATTTGAATCAGTTCAATTTTAGGAAGGAAGGAAGGAAGGAAGGAAGGAAGGAAGGAAGGAAGGAAGGAAGGAAGGAAACTACTATTTTGAATTTAGTCCAGTGCATAGGATTATTGTGGGAATTAATAAAAAACAACTATAACCACTACTTTTAGCTCTTCAGAGAAAGAGTTATTTTTAAATGTAATAATAAAAGAACAATAAACAGCAATAAAACAATCTTAAAATTGCAGCCTATAAACCTGTCTTAAAGGAAATCCTCACCTTGTTTAGGTTACATTCTTGCTTTTATGCAGTGCAGTTTTCTCTTTAGCCCATCCTCCCCTTTTCTGTTCAGGCTTATGATGAACATTTTATTGACCTTGAATCTCCTTGTTGTGGTTCACATTTGCAGAAGGCTTGGCCTCAAATACCGTGTATCCTATTGCTCACTGCCTTGGCATGTTGGAATGTGATTATCAGTCTAAGTTACATTTTTAGAATTCAGGAGTACTCTTTAGTTCAGCACTGTGCCGTGTTTGAACGAAGGTCATTTCAATTTCATGTTATGTCACAGAGTTTTGAAGTGACATGTGTTTAATGATTTTTTTCCCCTTCCTAAATGAACTGTAACAAGTACTGACTAATGGGGTCTAATGAGATGCCAACAAAAAGGGGGGGGGAGAGGGGAAAGATTGATAAGAACAAAATGAAACTTGCAAACTAATATTAGACTAATATTTTAATAGAGAGCTTGGCCCAACAGAGATTAATGTTTCCATTCTTAAATTTGTCACTGAAAAAAAGACTTCCTTCCTTCCTTCCTTCCTTCCTTCCTTCCTTCCTTCCTTCCTTCCTTCCTTCCTTCCTTCCTTCCTTCCTTCCTTCCTTCCTTCCTTCCTCCCTCCCTCCCTCCCTTCCTCCCTCCCACTTAATGGTTATTTTTCAGTATTTGCAATCTTTAAAAAGATGGGAATCATTAAGGGTTTCTCTGCATCAACAATAAATTCACCTTTCTCAGAGAATTCTGGGATAGCAATTCTGTGAAAAATCTATCACATAATATTCTCTACTCTTTCCAGTTTTTTTTTTTTGCATATAGCTGCGGTAGCTAATGGAGTTTGTATGTAGTTATAGTATAGCTGCATCCTTTGATTTCAAGCATGCACTTTCTTTTGCCCTATTTATGCCACTGACTTCCACAAAGTGGCTCAATGCATTAGAACTGATCCTGATTACAAACGTCAGGAATAGAAAGCATTGCAGATTCATAACTTTGGTTTGAAAATCAACTCTAGGTATACCTGATAGTAGCGTGTTTCACTGTAAGTTTCATCGTATTTTTGTGCAATCATTTGTACTTCGAACAATACCACTAGAGAGCTTAACATTTAGCCACTTAAGGGTACCATGGGAAATGATAACAGCAACCATCACTTAGCATACCCACTTAAATTTACCAAAATATCATTGATGGAAGTATGTTAGTGATAGTGTGTGAAATTTAGATGGCTAACCACCTTTTTTTTTTTAGCATGACTTCAGACCATACCAGTTTAGGAAGCCCTTGTGTCCTGAGACTGATGATGGCCTGAGTGATAGCATTCATCTTGGAAAAGCAAGAAAGAATGTACAAGTCTGCTTAAAAGTCCCTGTTGAAGCATTGTATGCACTGCATGCACAAGATTAATAGGTTCTCTCCTTTCTTGATAGGTAATCAAGGGAACAACCCACCAAGTCTCATTGCTATGAATCCTAAGCACAGGAAACATGTTGAAAAGACATGAGTAGCATACATTGAAATAAGTAAAGATATTTGATGAAACATCCTCCCATTTAGCTATTTCTGGTCCTTCTAATAATGCCACATGAAGAGACAGAAGAACCATGGGCAGAATGTTTTCAGGTGTGTTTCTGATGTGTCTTAAGCAGCCTCTTTTGCATGAATCTTCACATGAATTCTGTGTAGAGAGATGGAAAGAATGATGGAGACAGGGCTCCTCCTTTTATTTTAGAGATTCCTTGACTTTCACAATCAGGTTATACTGGAAATAGAACCTGATAAGAGAAACTCAGGTCAAATTAAGCTTGCAAAATCTACGGATTTTTTTTCTTGTTGCCTGATTATTTTTCATTAACTCACTTCATTACAATGGCCATGATGGTTGGGGATGCAATATATCTGAAGGGTGACAAGCTAGGGGAATTAGCAATAGCAATAGCACTTAGACTTATATACTGCTTCACAGTGCTTTACAGCCCTCTCTAAGCGGTTTACCGAGTCAGCATAATTCCCCTTAACAATCTGGGTCTTCATTTTACTGATCTCGGAAGGATGGAAGGTTGAGTCAACTTTGAGCAACTCAGGATCGAACTCCTAGCAGTCGGCAGAGTCAGACTGCAATACTGCATTCTAGCCACGGTGCCACCACAGCCTTCAATATTTGAGAGCCTTCCATGCTTCTGAATCAGTGTGGAAGAATAGCATGTTTAGTATAAACCCTTAGAGCAGAAGTCCCCAACCTTTTGGGAACCAGGGATTGGATCTGTGGAGAGGGGTTTTTCCATGGACCAGAACAGTGATGGCGAACCTTTTAGAGACCGAGTGCCCAAACCGCAAGCCAAAACCCATTTATTTATTGTAAAGTGCCAGGGCTGCATCAGCATTGTGGTGCCCTCAGAGAGGCAGGGAGGCACCTCTGAGTGCCGCCTCTGGCACGCAAAACCCAGGGGCACAAAAATGGGCCACCGTGCTGCAAGGTGCAAAAATGGCCGCTGCTGCACCGCGGGGTGCACATACAAGTTGCTACATCACGCAAGAACAGGGCAGGGCTAGTGAGTATCATGCCGGCACTAGTAAGGTTCCTCTATTTGGGGTCCTGGGGCCATTGGTCTTCAACATTTTTATTAATGATTTGGATGAAGAGGTGGAAGGAATGCTTAGCAGATCTTCAGATGACATAAAACTGGATAAGATAGTAAATAGTTTAGAAGACTGATGCAACATTGAAATGTCCTTGCTAGATTAGAGAAGATTGGTGAACATAAAAAGAATATGTAATTGAGACTAATGCAAAATTATTCACTGAGAAAAACAAGGTCCAAAACACTGTTAGAAGATGCAGGATACCTGGGTTGGCAATAGTATGTGTGAAAAATAATCTTGGAAGAATTGATCTCATTGAATATCAGTCAGTTGTGAAACGTGATTGCTATACAGGAAATGCAATTTTAGACTGCACTAAGAGAAGTATGGCACTTCATTTTGCATTGGTCAGATCCCACCTAGATATTACTAAAGATACGAAAAAAGTGGAATAGATGGGGGGAAGGCAGTGAGGATGATCCGAAGACTGTAAACCTTCCAAGGAGAAATTGTTGGAATGGGCATATTTAGCTGGGCAAAGTATACCCAAGGGTATGATAGCACTAAGGGGTGTTACATAAAAGAAGACTGCTCTATTTTCAATTGTCCCAGACTGCAGGCCATGAAATAAATCCTACGTTACAGAAAGGCGAATTCCAGTGGAATTTAAGTACTTCAATAAAAGCAGGTATTAATTATGGAACAGGGTGATGAACCTTGATGGCAGTGATACTGCCTCTGAAGACCATCTGCTGGGAGACTAGAGGGTTTCCTCATGCAATCAATTGACCGCTGTGAGAACAGACTGTTGGGCTAGATGGGCCAGGGCTTTGATCCAGCAGGCACCACTTAAGTTCTTATGCTCCACTCATTGGATGAGGCGGGACAGATGCTTTCGTATGGATTTCTGCACTGAGCAGGAGGTTGGACTTAATGGTCTGCCACAATGGCATCTGGGTCCTCTCGGATTCTATGATCAAGAGTGAATTTTGGTCTAGATTCCCTCAGTTTTAGTGTAACATTTCACTCTCACAGTATTGTTTTATTATTTAGCATGAGCGATACATACGGAGAGTGAATTCTATCAGTCTGTAAGAATGGACAGTAGGAAATGCAATACAGTATGTTACATAGAATGTTCCTCTCAGCCAGACACTCTATAGGAAACATCTTCCAAAATACTTAGTTCTATCCCTTCATTTTTTGCTTCCCCTGAAAAGAAGCATCAGCTTTCCATGCTTATGGAAGGAAAGCTTAAGGAAACCTTTTGTATGTGCCATTTCAGTCCTTAATTTGCTGATCTTGTTTCACATTTCTTTGAGACACTGTAGTCATTTTTTTTAAATTATAAGATGCCTTGGGAAAGTTTTTCCTTAAAAGCCAATGTTTAAAATAAATAACTTTTATTGTATTCACACTTGGGGAAACAGCTTTTGTCAAAAGATCAGTCTAAATATTTGATAACAGTTTGTACATGAACTATAGTCATTTTGATTTTACATGAGATTAATATTTTTCTATCTACGAGCCTATCTATTGTCTTCTGGTGGGCCTTTAAGGAAGAGAGCCATGTTGGTCAATAGTAACAAAACATCAGGAGTCTGCTAGCATTTTTGTGAATAATATTTTTTTATAAGCATAAGCTTTCATGGGCTGCAAATCACTTCCAAAAAGGTGAGCTTACAAATGTTTATGCCTTTTGATACCATTGGTTATTTGGAAAAGATTAACCAGACTCTTTCTGATCCACTGTCTTCTGTGTCTTATTCTATTAATTATGTGTCATCAAGATGGTGTCAACTCCTAGTGACCGCATAGATTTTCTTCAGGATGATTGGTCCCTAACCTAGTCTTCCAGGTCTTTCAATCACCCATTACTTCAAACTCATCACCACTGTAACTGAGTCTGTCTACCTTGCTTCTTGTCATCTTTTCTTTTCTTCCACTTTTATTAGAAAGCTGGTTCTTCACATAAAGTAGGATACATGAAATAGGATACTTTTTGCCATGTAGGAGAATTCTGGATTGATTTGCTTGATTATCCATTTTGTTTGTTTCTTTGGCTGTCCATTGTATTCTCAGGAATCTTTTCTAACACCAAAGTTCAAAAGTGTCAATACTCTTCATATAGTGTTTATTCAAAATCCAGTACTCCATGAGGTTTGTCTTTATCTAATCAAACATCACTAGTTTTTAAAGGTAAAATATTTATACTTATCTTTTATTTTTAACATTCACCCATGTCATAATGTTTTTGAAGTGGGGGGGAGGGTTTGCTTCTAGCATAGTATACATTCTCTAGCATGTTCAAAACTAGCATTCTATCCAAAGCAGATTTTATGTGCCAGAATATCATTTATTAATGGAATTGTTTCTTTCCCTTTTATCTTCTGGTCACATCTCCATCATTTGGTGGTCAAAGAAGTTCTCCTGCCCATTTGCTGCCAGTTAATTGAATTTCATTTCCTCCCAGTTTAATGAAAGTCTTAGGTGGACCATGATATGACATGGTGGCCCAGAAAT